GTAGACTTAACAAGAAATTATATAAACTATAGTTAACAAGAAATAAAAGCATGATATAATTTAAACTTCAAAATTAATAGAAAATAAAGCAAAATTAACAAGAAATAATTTATACATAACATGATTTAGAATTAACAGGAACTGACTTAAACATAATAGGAATTAATTAGACTTAACTTGATGTAACTTAAACTTCAAAGTTAACAAAAAATAACTTATACATAACATGATTTAGAATTAACATAAACTGTCTTAAAATTAACATGAACATAATTAGACTTAACATGATGTAACTTAAACTTCACAGTAAATACTTGACATTTAATAGGAAAATAAATAGACATAACATAACATGATTTATATTGTACTTTACAGGAAGAAGTGTATACTTAATGGTAATACTTACACAAAAAAGCTGATACGATGCCATATTGTTTACCTAATGCCATGTTCTGCAATCTATCTATCAACGCTTCTGCCATCTGTAAAGAACCAGGAAATTAGCATTAAGTATAAATAAGGGTCCTAAAATATTTAATTTAGTATCTTACATGGTAATCTAGGCGTCCTCCATATAGTAAGTACCGAAGCTCCAATCTATTCATGTTATTGTTATCTGTGTTGATAACCACATACCTCCTGGAAAAATGAGATTTAATAATTATCAGTAAACATTAACATGTACAAATATTGAGTTAAAATATACTATAATAAACTTAACACATAACAAAATCATTAAAACTTACTTAAGACATTTTTTATAGAAAAAATGTGATAGCTATTTATTTTCTCTTGGAGCGATTTAGAGTATACTATAGGAGGTACCCTATAGTAATGTAAAAAAGTCCTGTGCTATCAAGAATGCTTATGCTAAAATTTGAAGCATTGGGAATCCCCTCATTTAACACCTTCAGGGGATCTTCCTCCTCCGTTATTATATTTTTCATCCTCAACACATCCCATTTGGCTTCTTTATTATTGAAGTAATAATTGATGGCTTCTTCCTCTTCATCCACATAATTAGGTACCTCAATTATATCTTCATCTTTTTTTAGTCTTCTTCTTTTCTTCTGTGAATGGGGTCCTACATGCTGGGATCTCTTCATAGCTTTTTTGCTTGGTGCCCTAGTTCTCTGAGGTAGATGATTCTTTGTAACTACCTTCTCATTCACATTTTGCACAACATTTGTGATGTCCTCCACAAATTTATCCACATGCTCAATCACATTCTCATTCAAAATTTTCTTTGCATTCTCATTCTCATTTTCCACCACATTCATGTCTCCAATTTCCTTTTTTCCAAATTTTTTTCTCAATCTTTTTCTTAACTTCTTTCTCATTGTTGAAATGCTCCTCTCCATTGTTATCACCATTGTCAAAATCATTATGAAATTCATTTTCAAAGCTTCCTTTTGTCATCATTCTGAATGTCATTGTCAACATCTTTTTTAACTTTCTCCTCACCTTCCTTCTCAATGGGAACATTCTCCTCTCTGTTATAATAATCATTTCCGAAGTTTGCTGCTACATTATATTCCTCCTCAGTTGCTTGTGCTTTAAATTTCTTGCTTTGTGCAATTTTCTTCTTGATATTCTCCTTTAGCACCCCCGGGTTTATAACATCAGCACATCCTTCATAATTTTTCACTTTTTTATTGATCTGCTAATCTCAATCATAAATTATTTACAATAGGTACTCTTCGTATATTTTTTAGCATTCAACAACTATTAATAAAATTTAGCAGAATTTCTCCAGAAGATAAGCTGCTCCTCAATAGGTAGAGCATCCACCTCATCTTCCTTTCTAAAAGTATCATCAATATTCTTTGAAATAATCTAAAATTTTATAGACATTATGTTATATCAGTAAAAAAAAATAAACATGCCTATAATTTACAGGAAATTGCTTACAATTAACATGAAATGATTTAGACTTAATACAAACTGATCTAAACTTAACAAGAACATAGTTAGACTTAACATGATATGAATTAAAGTTTACATTAAATTTTTTATAATTAACACGATATAAATTAGACTTAACATAAAACTACTTACATTTAACATAACATTATTAAGACTTAACAAGCACCTATTAGGAGCTGGATTAGACTTGACATGATATAACTTAAACTTTACAATAAATGATTTACAATTAATAGGAAATAAAGCTTAAATGAAGTATCAGAAAAACTTACATAGCATATTGAGCCTTTCTTCTTAACTTCCTTAGTCTTCACCTTCTTCTTTGAACTCTTCTCACTAACAAGTCGTTCCAGCTGACGATACAAATTTTGTTTCCTCAATGTTGGGGTGAGATTCTTTTTCTTTTCAGACTTGAAACATCATCATTCATCACAATAGACTTTCTAAGTGGGTATTTTGGGAGATAATGACCAACTTCAACCATAGGGTTATCAACTAATATTATGAAAGTTTTTTCTGCCTTTGAAGCAATCGTCCCTTCCTCAAATATCCAACTTTCTCACCCTCTAGTACCCAATTAGTCATTAGAGACTTGAATCTGTTGCCAAGGGCACATTTCTTTATGTCTGTCATCTCATAATATCCCGTAAAAAGTACAATCACTATTCTAATAATTAGAAAATGACCATATTCAAAATAACATTAATATCTTATAATTAACAAGAAATAAATTACACATAACATGAAATGGTTTAGAATTAACAGTACCTGAATTTAACCTAACAAGAACCTAATTAGACTTAACATGGAAAAACTAAAACTTCACAATAAATAATTTACACTTAATGGGAAATAAAATAAACTTAACATTGATATATATTATACATTGCATGAGGAATTATACACTTAACAGGAATACTTAGAAAGCCTACTTAATGAAAATAACATCGACATATTATATTTAACATGAAAAAAAAATCATGCACATAAATTTTACTATCTTAACAATTTAAATATAGACCTTACATGAACTAGTGGCATGCATTCATGAATATATGTAACTCTTGGCTTCTTCAAACCCTCCAAAGCATTTTTAACGCCACTAACAATTTCTGTATAAATGAATTTTCCCCATGCAACTATGTTCACACTTCCAATGCTATCCACATACTTGAATAATAGCCTACGGATATCTTGCACGCTTCTTGGGCACTATCTTCGAGCATTGATAAAGTATTTGCAGCAGAATAAAGTATTGAATATCCTTCTTTTTCTTTGATTCCACAAGACTTTCTAATAGATATTCAACATGTCTTCGCATCCTCATTGGTGCTCTTCTTTTTTGCCCTTCTCCCCTTCTTCAACCCCGTCTTCATGCATATTTAGTTTAGCGAAATATTCCCTCCACATTCTGCTATTGGGGTCCTGATTGGTATATTTAATTTTCCCGTCAATTGAAAAACCAATATGATCATGAACCTAATCCAAGTCAAAGTTGGCAATTCTTTTTTTTCTCCAGTTTTAGCAGCAAGGATAAAAAATGCTTCATTACCAAGATCATAATACCTCAGCACTAGCTCAAGTGTTGGACGATTAATTGCAAGAGCACCAAATAGAATATAATGCTCAAATGTGGATCCTTGATATGCATCTCCATGCCACTGGCACATCTTAGGGGTGAGAAGCTTCATAAATTCATAATATGCACTAAAACTAATAGTTGGCCTAATTTCAGTAGGATCACCAAGTTTTATCCTGAAAAGAAAGTTAAACGTACACTTAACATAAAACTCATTTTAGTTAACATGTATTAGATTAAACTTAATAAGAACACCAGTTTAGTTAACATGAAGCTGAGTTTAGTTAACATAAAACTCAGTTTACTTATTTTGTATTGGATTAAACTTAGCATGAACATCAGTTTACTTAACTTAGTTTAATTAACAAGTATTGGAATAATCTTAACATATACTTCGTTATACTTAACAATACAAACTTAGCATATCATTTGTTATAATTTATTGCATTCAAATTACCATACAACATATTTTCCATTCCAAAGAGCTAAAATGCAATGAATTATAACATGCATTGAATATGACGCAAAAAATTAATATATTTTATTGTTCATATATGCAACTCATTTAACATTTACTGATATAAGTTAGTATATACTGCTATACAATTACATGTTTTACAATAAAGTTAACAAGAAATTCAGTTCAGTTGATATGAAACTCAGTTAACATAAAACTCAGTTTAGTCAGCATAAAACTCAGTTTAATTAATATGAAACTTAGTTTAATTCTTATGCGTTGGATTAATGTTAACACGAATCTCAGTTTAGTTAACATGATAATCAATCGAGTTATTATGAAACTCAGTTTACTTAACATAAAACTCAATTTACGTATTATGTATTTGATTAAACTTAACATTAACATCAGTTTACATAACAATTAACTTTTTACTACTTTTAACAAAAAAAATTTCAAATAATTTAAACTCCAGTCATTCACTTACACGTATCGGACATTCTACCAAAATTGACTATAAAGTACATCAATACAACATTTTAAGTTTTCCACATTACAATGAAGTTAATATATACTTTAATAAATTTAACAAGTAATACCAAATAGTCATCGTAAATCTTAATTTCTTAAAAAAACCTTACACTTACTTCTTTCTAGGCTTGGAACCACCCCTTACTAAACTTCTTTTATTGCTTCTTCCTAATAGTTCACCCATTTGCATGCCCAAAGGAGCCTTCGATGCTTTCTCCATGCTTCTATTCCCAGAGGATTGACGAGGTTCACCATCACTAGAAGAAGCACGACCGTCATCACTCGAGGAGGCAATGTGATCATTGTCAACTTCACCACATCCCTCACGAAGTGTGACCGACATTTTGCTTCCTTTTTATATTTAGATCGTTTTAACGGCCACTGTCGTCTTGCCCCAGCCATCCACTACGATGAATAACTTCAAAATCATGATCAGACACTTCTTTAAATGTCATTTTCAACGAGCGAACCCTAACCCTAAGTTTGAAATTCGAGAGGGAGAAAGAAATGAAATTTGGGGATTTTGTGTTCCTATTAACAGTAGAAGAGAGAGGGAGAGAGAGAGTACTTTAATGGGGAGGTGGGTCCTTTTACCAATTTTGAGGGTGTCATGTCATAATGGTTTAATAGTAATTTTAGATAGGCTTTTTCTCTAACTACTTATGTGGCATTTAATTAGGGTTATGACACAAATACTGTTAGTGTTTGGGGTTAAAACACAATGCCCAAATTACAAAAGCGCTGGTGACATCCCATGATAATATATTAAGGCATTGACACAACTTTTCCTTACTATTATTATTATTATTATTATTAAATTATATCAGCCTCCGATGTCTAATCAAGTACCCATAAACGAAGCTGTGAACTTGTAACTGTTTGGCAAGGCATTCCTTAATTTAAAAAAAGAAACAACTATTGAGCAAGAATTACATTTGAGTCGAGTCCGACAAGACCCGCAAGTAAGGGTGCCAAACCATATCCGTATCCGAGGAAATATCTGTAACCGTATCCGTTAGGATACGAATATGGTTACTCAGTAAACCATATCCGTATCCGAGGAAATATCTGTAACCGTATCCGTTAGGATACGAATATGGTTACTCAGTCTATAACCGATAGGATATGGTTACGGATATGGTTTTGTAGCGAAATATCCATATCCGTATCTGAAAATATCCGAATACGTATTGGTCATACTCTTACGATAGTTTCGATTCTTAGATTATCGATTTGTAGTTAATTTTGATGATCAAGATGTCTAATCTTAGCTTTTCAATCATAATGAACATATTAACAAACTCTTTTTGTATCACATGACTATATTTTTTTGAATAATATCTAGTTTTCTCATATCCTTTTTGTATCCGCATGCATATCCGTTTATATATCCGGATTTATATCCGTAACCGTATCCGATTTTGACGGATATGGATATGAATTTTTCTTACCGACGTATATCCGTATCCGTATTCGTATTCGAGATGGGTAAGCGGATATGAATATGATAAGTGTCATATCCGAGCCGTATCCGCTCCGTTAACACCCATAGAACTGTGCCTGCGGTTACCCAACCAAAAGATACCTTGTCTAACAAACTGAAATTACAACTCTACCCTAACCAAAGGCGGTGGCGCCGAACCCGCTCGACCATTTCCACAGTCGACTTCTCCCCATTCCCAAGTCCCAACAATAAATACTCCGGCCAAAATCGGAAGGAAACCTTCCCCTTTCGTCTCCACAAAACCACTGGGGAAAGGAAGAGGGGAAAAGAGAAAAAAATTGGGGAAAAAAAACCCTCGTCTCCTGGAGCTCCACCAGAGATAACAGCTTCGTCGTCTGGAACCCTCCTGAATTCGCGGCCAAGCTCCTCCCTACTTATTTCAAGCACAACAACTTCTCTAGCTTCATCCGCCAGCTCAATACCTACGTAATTCCTCCCCAAGCTTCAATTTCTTTGCTCATTGCTCCTTGTTTGTTAGGGTTAGGGTTTTTTTGACTTTTGGTTTTTCCTTTTTTAGGGATTTCGTAAGAGCGATCCAGAGCGATGGGAGTTCTCGAACGAGCACTTCATCAAGGATCAGAAGCATCTGCTGAAGAACATCCATCGTCGGAAGCCGATCCACAGCCACAGCCATCCTCCTTCGGGTTCCTTGCTGCCGGACCCTGAGAGAATCGCTCTCGAGGAGGAGATCGAGAAGCTTTCGAGAGATAAAGCTGATCTCAGCGCCAGTCTGTGGAGATTCAGGCAGCAGCAGTCGGGCACCGAGATTCAGTTGGAGGATCTCGATAGGAGATTGTATGATATGGAGCAGAGGCAGGCGAAGATGATTGCTTTCTTGGAGAGAGCCCTTCACAACCCCAAATTTGTTGAGAATCTGATCAAGATGGCAGGATCTGGTGCGTCTCCCGGCGATTTCTCTATACTGCACAAGAAGAGGAGGCTGCCCGGAGTAGACTACCGTTTGGAGATTGCAGACAATAGCTTCTACGATGATGATTATAATGGTAAGGATGGTGGGCAAGTGTTTAGTCGGGATTTCTGCGAAAAATTGAAGCTTGGGTTGTGCCCTACTGCTATCTCAGAGAGTAATAATCTGATCACTACTAGCATTCAGAGCTCTAATGAAGCTGGTGAGAGCCCCCGAGTGGAGCAGAGTAGGAGATTGGAGTGCCTGACTTTCGTGCCGGAAACCCTTGAACTTTCGGACACGGGTACCTCCCTCTGTCCAAGGAAGAACTCTTTGCTTTCTGGATCAGTTGATGATGGAGATGGGCTGATCTCTTGTCATTTGAATCTTACACTTGCGTCTTCGTCGATGCAAATAGACAAGGGTGATACTTTGGGTAGAAGTCATTACTCAGATCCTGAGGAGGGCGTTGGCGATAAAGAAGAAGATACCATCAGAGAAGCTACAAAGAGCCAGAGCAATGCTGCAGCTGCTACTTCAGATGGAAAAGCAGCTTCTTTGCCTGACGCTGCTCAAACTAGTAATCAAGGGCCTCCAGCTACTACCAAAAGAGTGAACGATGGGTTCTGGGAACAATTCTTGACTGAAAGGCCAGGCTCCTCTGATACGGAGGAGGCAAGTTCTAGTTTGAGGACCGACCATTGTAATGACCCACAGGAGGAGAGGAAGACCGTGAACGATAGCATGTGGAAGAACAGAAAAGATATGGAGCAGCTGACCCTATGAGCAGCTCATGTGATGAAATGTAAGCTCTCAAAAACTACAGCTTTATACCATGCTCAACGTAAATACGAACTTCATCTACCCTAAACATGGAACCTGTTGTATTGATATGTATGAATAACTAAAAAGATGCTCATATTTGCTGCACACAGAATACAAGAGAAACACAATGGGAGAGTCTGTGGTGTATATTACCTTTCATCTTTAAATTTGCATATTTAATTATAAAATGCATGCTAGTTGAGATTGCAATGACATGTATGATTTCTCTTTGTAAGTTCTATAGTGTTTTCAATGATTTTTTGAATGATTTAGTTTATTCTGTTCAATTTATAATCATTTCAATGTCTATTTTTGTTAAAAGTAAGTGGTCCATTACTAAGTAGATAATACATTGTTATGAAGTCATATAGCGCAATGTCATTTTACTTTGTAACTAGATTTTTATGGAGAATTCAAGGTGAGTTATTCATCTCTAATACTGGATTTCCATTTGCTATGAAAATCTTATTTCTTGTATTCATATTCTTACTATTAGTTGAAGAAAAAATTATGGGTGTATGGTACACTTGTATTGACAGTTTTGGTGATAATGTTGTGTTGTTCCTGAAATACCCTAGAGGGGAATGAATAGGGTTTATGCTAATCTAATCCGATATAAATACCAATTAAAACTAATTAACAAATATATCCTAGCAAGATTGATATTCAATGAACTAAAGCAAGGATATATAAGCAAGGGGCTAACAATAAGAAACAATAGTGAACAAAAAGACAAACTCAGACAAGCAATATGATCATGGAGTTCGGTCCTTCCGACCTACATCTCTACTCCCCATTCCCGGGGAGAATCCACTAACACAACGGGTTTTTGACGTTCACCCAAAATGTTCACAATCGGTTTTCAACGCTTATCGACAAACGTTTACAACACACATAATGTACACACTATACCTGTTTGTTGGAAAATTTGCAATAAGAAAATTAAAAGAATTAAATTTGATTTATTCCTTCTAACTACTTAGAAAAAAAATGTTTACAATTTTTTCAATCTCGATTATAATTTGGATTTCCTGATTACAAAAGAGAAGAGAATTGATCTGAATTCTCCTCTTTGTTTAAGTCCGGGTTCTTCACGGTGGCGATGGAGTGCCTCCCTCGAATGCTCGCGTCGAGTTTACTCTCCGTTGACGATCCGACGTTTCACTTCACTGGAACAGTATCTTCTTCTCACGATTTGACGCTGTGGAGGACTTGCGTGACAAGTTTGAAACTCTGAACGAGTTGATAACTTAGAGCGAGTTTAAACTCTTAAAAAAGAGTTGATTTGAACCAAAAATTGGTTAATAAGCCAAGGATGAAAGCTTCTTGATCTCGATTGCTGAAGAATGCTTCCAGATCGGATGATTGAAGAAGCCCTTTGTTGATCTCTAGATCCAAAAATGCTCCAAAGATCCAAATATCCCAAAAAAATCCAAAAATCGCTCCAAAAAGATCCTAAGATCTCAACTAAGCTAAAAAAAAAGATCCTAAGATCTCAACTAAGCTGATTTTTTAGCTATTTATAGGCGATTAGGGGGTATAATCACCCCTAAAATTGCTCCTTTGTGGGGCTTATGGGATGTAACCGTCCTTTAAATCACTCCTGAGTGGAGTTGTGATCCCCTCAGATCGTGAGAAACGGTTTTAAAACCGTTCAGCTCATGTTTGAACGAGTCAAACGCAAGAATTACGTTCTGGTATGAATTCTACGGTCAAACGCAGTGTCTGAAAGCTGCATTGGTAGCTTGTTGGAAGTTGCGTTGGCAGCATTTAAGAGCTGCATTTGGCAACGGATGAAAGCTGCGTTAGCAGCTTGTTAGAAGCTGCGTTGGCAGTATTTAAGAGCTGTGTTTGACAGCGGATGGAAGCTACGTTGGCAGTTTTTGGAGGCTGCGTTTGCGGTCGAACATGAGCTACGTTGGTAGCTGGATTTGAACTGTGTTTGTAGCGTTCGCGTTGTGTGGGAGTTGCGTTTGTACTGCGTCAGCGGCTGTGAACGCGGTAAGTCTTGATGCTGATGCGTGGGGAGGACCTCCGCGTCTTGATGCTGAAACGCGAGGACTTCCACGTCTTGATTTGAGGAGATCGTCAATTTGTAGTCTCTTTTTATCAGAATGTTGCAAAGATCGTTGTTTTGTAATCTTTACTTTAGCTCTTTGATATGTGAGAGTCGTCAGGTTTTAACTCTCGCTATTGATTGTGAAGACTATTGATCAGAGCTTTCATTGATTATTATGAAGGTCGTCAGATTGTAACCTTCATCGATTTATATAAAAATCTTTAAATTTTAGTCTTCTAGAAGCCGTCAAATTGTAGCTTCCATCATCGGTGTTTGATGGGGATCAGCTATCTGTAGTAATTTTTAGACAGCCTACAGAACCTCCTTCAAAGTTCTCGAAAGTTTGCGGTTGACTGAGATGAATTTTCGGAATACTTTGGATCTCAACTCTGATCTTAGAGCTGTTAATTCCTTGTCATAAATGAGTTGTTCTCTGTACCCGCTTTGAAGACATCTTGGTTGAAAAGATTTACCACATAGGACCTGAGTGAGGATGAGCTTCGAAGAGAAACTATAGCGACGGTACAAGCCTCTTATGAGCAGAAGTTCTCAAACGTCATGTCACAACTCACATCCATTCAGCTGATGCGTTCGAAAACATTCATAGGATTTTTGGCAAATCCTCAGCCATCAACGGATTTGATAAGTCTTTACCGATTACCGTTTGAGTCGGGCTAGCATGTGGATTGTCTAAATTCATTCCACATGTAACATTGTGTTAAAAGAATGAGCTCTTTTAGACTTAGCGCTATGATTTTGAATACATAGACTTTATCGTTTTTACGGGAAAAGACTAAACCGGTAGCGCGTGTTAAGGCGTAGACTTATCTCTGTTTAGGATTCCAGATAAAGTTTTCCATGCGTGAAAGACATGGATTTTTGATACTACGATGTTGAATACGTAGACTTGATCATTTTCGCGGGAACGGACCACCCGACAGCATGTGTTAGATGCAAGCTTATCTCTGTTTAGGGGTCGAGATAAATTCCCCTAGGCATGAATCATGGTGTCTTTTTTCACTACGAAAGATTAACCGGTAATGCGTGTTAGGCGTTGACTTATCTCTATTTAGGGATTGAGATAAAGTCCCCCATGTGTGAAAGATATGGATTTTTGGTGCTACGATGTTGAATACGTAGACTTTTATCATTGTTTCTTTCTGTGTTATGTTTTCACATGAAACACTGAAAGAAAATTAAAAATGCCAGATGTGTATTATTAACTTGGCATGAATTTTTACTTAGAAAAATTTAAAAATTAACTTGATTATCACTAGGATAATTCCAGAAAATCTTTGATGCGCTGAGGATTTTATAATAAAAACTTGTTATTTTTGTTGAAAAATGATTAACAAGTTCATTGGGGGTTTGACTGTTAGAGATGTGATGTTAACCTAACAGTATTTTATGTGCCTATCCAGTGTTGTAAAAAACGTCCTGGGCGACCTGCCCAGGGCGTGCAAAAATGCCCTGAGCGGCCACGTTTAGGCGTTGGGAGCGCTTAGGCGGCCGCCTAGGGCTAAGCGGGTCGCTTTAGCGGCCCGCTCCATAATTTGAAGGAAAAAAACGTTCTGGGCTCGTCTTCAAACCTAAACCCAAAACCCAAAACCCAAAACCCAAAGCTATGCAAACTAAAGTCTCATTAACCCTAATCTCACTCACCCGACGCCGCCAGAAGGCCCAGAACATCGAACTCGTCTTCGATCTCTGCCAGAACATCGAGCTCGTCTTCGATCTCGTCGAGCTCGTCTTCGATCCTAGGAGCTCTCGTCTTCGAACTCGGGAGCTCGTCTTCGAACTCAAGTTTCGAGCTCGTCTTCAACTTGGGAGCTCGTCTTCGAGCTCAAGTTTCGAGCTCGTCTTCAACCTGGGAGCTCGTCTTCTAGCTCAACTTCCGACCTCGTCTTCGAGCTCAACTTCCGAGCTCGTCTGCAACCTGGGAGCTCGTCTTCGAGCTTGTCATTCTCATCTCCAACTTCTATCTCGTCCTCGTTCTCATCTCGAAGTTCATCTTTGTAAGTAAAGGACTAAACTAAAGTTTTTCTTAGATTTGGTTCCCTGAGATTTGGTTTTGGACTTGTGGGGAGTTTTCCTTCTTGTTTGATCGGCATCAATCCGTCGACAGGCACCCTTACAAGGGTTTTATTTGCCGCCATAGGAAGCGAGGTGAAGGAACTTGCTCTTTAAACAACTTTGTAGCGGTGAGTGCAATTTATTGCTGGGTTAGTTTTTAGATTGATTGGATCATGTTCCAAGTTTTGTATGTTGAGTGTTTGTCTTGTGCTCGGATGGTCGCTGATCGCTTCAATTTACAAAGACAGTTTGTTCAAAAATTTCCATGCTTTCCAAACTATTAAATTCGTCCTTGCTTACCCTTAGAATTATTTTCAGTCCTAACTTACCTCTTGAAATATATCACTTTTACTCTCGTAAATCCATTAAGGACGCCCACAAATTAATAAACAAAATATCACTTTTACTCTCGTAAATCCATTAAGGACGCCCACAAATTAATAAACAAAATATTTTCAGTCCCCGCTTTGATTAATTTGGCTTTGTCATGTTCATTCTCTACATTTGACATTTGTTCAAAGATTACAACTGTACATACAGAGTTTTTTTCTGTTAATATAATAAGGCCCTTGAGAAACAACATATTGAAACACAACAATAGTCAGTAGCGATAGTTGCAGCAATAACGAATGAAGTTGCAGTTTTTTACCTACAAAATAGAACAATAATTAGTTACATTTTTTGAAGTTGCAGCAATAACGAATAAAGTTGTAGTTTTTGACCTACAAAAATAGATGCATATTGTAGATATATAGGTGCAAAGTTGGAACCTAAAATGTTTTGGAGAGGACATCGATGATGGAGTAGAGGAGGAACTTCATGATGATACTGTTTGATGATGAGATTAGATTAGATGCATATTGTTAATTCATTTTATTAGATCTAGACTATTCCTGTTTGACCGTCTTTTTGCTGATATTTTGGAACCTAAACTTCTAGTTATTGGATATTATATGCCTTGTCATTTAGTATGTATGCATCTTTGATTTACTATTATAGTTTGGATAACATATGTATTAGTATTTTTATATTTAAGCATTATTGATTGAGTATATATATATATATTTATCTTCAAATATCG